AATAGCCAACATCCAGCGGTAGTTTTGATCCTTTTGCTTCGCTAAGTCCGTATCGGTTTGCAACCTTCTTCACATACACCTCCTGATCCAGATTATAATATCCTTCACCGTCCTTGGTGACGCGTATCCCCAAGAAGAACGAGATTTCTCCTAGAGATGAAAGCTTCATCCTATTCGCTAGTTCCTTCTCGGTTTGCTTTATTTCGTTGACATCGGTGCTCGCAAGCAGCATATCATCCACATATATTAATAAATAGACTCGTACGCCGCTTCTCAAAGCCTTGACATACAAACATGGGTCCGCCTGTGACTGTTCAAACCCCAACTCCTTCAATATTGCGCTGATAGTTTCATTCCACACTTTGGCCACTTGCTTCAACCCATAAAGACTGCGCTCTAGCTTGCAGACCAGATTCTCCTTGCCTGACTGCACGAATCCTTTTGGTTGCTGCATGTATATATCTTCCTGCAACCGCCCGTGAAGATACGCTGACTGATGCACGCTCATCCGATGATGTCTCGCTACGGTAAGCAAAACCCGCAAGGTATTCTGCGAAGCCACTGGCGCGAAAACTGTGTCGTAGTCTATACCAGGGCGTTGTGAAAACCACTGTGCCACTAAGCGTGCCTTAAAACGGGTTACATTGCCAACGCTGTCTTCCTACCTTTTAAAAACCCATTTGCAGCCTATTGGTTCTCGTCCAGCGGGCAGCTCCACAAGTTTTCAGGTCCCGTTTTGGATGAGCGAGTCGAACTCCTCCTTCATAGCAACCTTCCACAACATTTGCTCAAAGTTCCCGATTGCGTCCTCGTAGCTCACAGGTTCTTGCTCGACAGCCATGGCTACGTCCACCACATAACCTCGCAGATGCTTCGGAAGTACGCCTCTTGTGCTCCGAACTGTTTGCTGGTTCTGATCTTGAACGGCTCGGCCGACGGGATCTTCTTCCTCGGTTTCGAAACCGTAAAATTCTTCTTCGGACTCTGAATTCTCCTCCTGAATCTGCTGCTGTGCATCCTGCTCCTCCTGAACCTTGGCATCGTTCATTCCCAAGTCGAGCACCACACAATCTTCATCCTGCTTGCCATACCGACGATCCATCATCATGGAACCATTCTGCAGCTCCACAAAACGAGCGTCTCGGCTTATGGTAATCTTGTTGGTCTCCGGATCGAGGACGGCATACGATTCTGGATGTAACCGGCAGTCATCACTGCCTACCCCCAGTACTGCTTCCCGAGACCTGCGTCGAGCAACATGCAGGTTGCCATTTCCTGGAGGCTGTGGTTCTTCCGCTCCGCAACTCCGTTCTGCTGCGGGGAGTAGGCAGCCGTGTACTGAGCTTGAATTCCCTCCGAGGCATAGAACTCGTTAAGCTCTTGGTTCACATATTCGCCTCCGCCGTCGGATCTAATGACGCAAGGCGCTCTTCCGAATTTTGTCCTCGCATGTGCCACAAATCTCTTGATGCACCCGGCTGCCTCAGACTTTTGCCTTAAAAGACAGACCACCGTATAGCGACTGAAGTCATCAATTATGGTCATCAAATAACGACAATCTCCGGGTGTGACCGACTTCATAGGACCACACACATCTGTGTGTATCAAATCCAAATCCTCATTTTGGGAAAGGGAATACGAGAAAGTTTACCTTGCAGGCAGCGTTCACAGACTTGCCTAATTCCACAGTCAGTCACCTGGAAGCCATCGCTGAGTTCCTCCGCTTGGATGCGCTGCAGCACCGTAGGGTCACGGTGTCCAAACCGCCGGTGCCAGGCTCCTTGCTCAGCCGTGCATCCTGTGCCACGCTCAGCTTGTGCAGGTTTCCACTAAGAACTGCCACTGCAACCACTTCTCTTTCCATATTCACCACTGTGCACCTTGACGCGCCGAATTCCACCTTCAGTCCCTTTTGTGTTAACTTCCGAACCGACAACAAACTACTGTCCAGGTTCGGCATGTACAACACATCTTGAAAGGTAATGTCTCTCACGCGGCCGTCATTGTCAACACACTTCACAACACCTTCGCCGATTCCGGCCGATCTGGTCACAGATCCATCGGCCAACACAACATCGATCTTCACATTTTCATTCAGTTCCCGAAAAAAGGCTTTCTTGTTCGTCATGTGGCTCGAGCTGCCACTGTCCACGTACCACGAACCGCTGCACCGATTGCTTCCAACCGTGAAGCAAATCGGGCTTTCCGTTTCGACAGCCTGTTTGGCTTTACGCGCACTTCTCTTCTTGTCACTTCTGGAATCTTCTTCTTTCTTCTTATCCTGCTGCAACAACCGCAATCACGACGAAAGTGACCGGGCTTACCGCAATTGTAGCACTTCTGCTCCTTCCGCCCTTTGCTTTGCAGCTTCATCGCAGTTTCACTACACTCACCGGAACGCTCCACTCTGCGCATATACTCGTCGACCAGCCGCTGTTTGACGAATTCGATCGTCTGATCTGCGTCCGGACGGCTTTCCATCGCCGTCACCAATCCGCCATATGATTCCGGGAGGCTGCGATAAATCATCGCTACTTTCAGTGGTGTTTCGAGCTTCTGACCGGCGCACTCCAGTCGGTCAAATAACTCCTCCAGCTCGAAGAGGTGCTTCTCCACGTTTCCTCCTTGCGTCATATTCAGGCTACAGATCCTTCTGAGCAGCGACACACGGGATGTCATCGTGACTTTGTTGTGAAACTTCATCCTTCATCCATCTTCATATATTATATTAGGTAACAGTGAATCTGTACCACAGACAAACAAGCAAAACTTTCAATTTTGTCGGTGTTCCAATCATGTGACATGATTGTTTTACAGTTTTCCTCCTTGAATCTAGTTCTCCAATCGACGTATTAAATAAGAGCACACAGTATATCCAAGTCTGTCGTGATAAATGTCTTATCAAATTTTTCATTATAACGGTCAAACGAGAGCAGTAAATTTTTAAGTGTAGTTTCGTTTTGTCTGTGGTATTTTTACACTTATGCGGAACGGTTTATTTTGCTTTTGTCTATATCTGATTAATCAAATGGGTGCTTATTACCCGGGCACCCCAACTCACACAATGAAAGTGGGGATTCTTTTATCTCAAGTATTAGTATACAAATTCATTAGGTTACATTATTCATTTCAGATCTCTATCGAATGCCGTCTTCTCAACCCAAAATGTTTAAATTTCAGTGAAAAGTTCAAATCCCTGTAGGGATTAATCCTTGCAGAATATGGTGGACATTACCGGCACATCACGAACGGTAAATACTCTTGATTGAATAGTAAAACTTTATAATGCATGTTCAACAATATCACTTATGATTTTTTTTATAGATTTTTTGAGGACACTGGCCATCATTCGCTTTAAGAATCCTAGTCGAGGAGCAAACGTTTGCGAGAGTCCAATGCGGTCAACGACAACCCTCTTCATGGTGTTATGGAATGGTTTCAGGTAATTCTTTTTTGTGTTTTTATATCAAAGATTTCTAAAAAAATATTTTATTTTGTCAGGATGACGGCCTTCCCCCATCCAAAGATGTCCCTGTTTTGCAATTCAAAGGCGACATCTATGCAGACAATTGCGATGGCTACATCGTTTTCAACAATTGGAGCATGTGTATCAACAGTAATTACGAGTACTGCTTCCGGGTGTTGGTTGAGTCGTTTCCGGTGCTCAATGTCAGTTGCCGCCCTTCCGACAAACAGTTTTTTTGTTTGCTTCCGCTTTAATGGGTATCGGAACACTAACGACGACCGGTGGAAAATTTATGAGCAGTCTCAAAAATTTTTTTCTTTGTTATCCTTTCGGTTCACCTACAACTTGCAATAAGTTTGAAAGAATTAAGTTCGCTGACTCGTTGAATACACAAATTGTCGTGTAATATATCGAATAGCATTTAATAAAAAAAAAATATAAACAACAATTTATATTGTGCGTGATTTTTTACGAAGTTCCCTATCCTTGACTTCCACTGTGTTTCAGTAAAAACTACCGAAAGAACTGTAATTTTTGGCAGTTGACGACGTTTCTATTTTTACAGATTTTTTTTTGTAAATTTGACCGAACTTCAGTATTGAGTGATGAGGTGGTCGGTATTTTTTGACAGCTGAGTGTACATTGCAAGTTTGCCGATCGTTCAGTAAACCAAACTTTTACCGAACTCATTACCGAATGTTCAGCTGTTTGAAAGTCAGTAAAATGTTTACCGACAACTGTAAAAAAAAGTTGGTGTGATAGTTTTGCCAGAATCATAGTAAATTCTTTAATATTCATAGTAAACTATACTGAATTGATAGTAGATTTAACGGCAATAAGCGTTGCGTAGTTATATTAAAAATAAGTGTTTTCTACAAAATAGTATTCCTAACCATGGTCCTTGTTTCAGTGTTGGCTCATAACGAAAAGTGTGCAGACGACACCAAGACGATACAACGAATACGAATACGGATACGAACGCTTATAAAATTCCGACTTTTGAGGAGTGTATTAGAAATGCAAATACAATACAATCTTGCATTTTTTTTTGGGTGTAGGCAGGTGGCTTTCAGTTCCGATGAGATAAAAACTGGCAGCTTACATAAATTCATTCGAACCTTTTTCGATAATAATATTTGGTACAAGTGGCAGCACTTATTTTTATTGAACATCTTCTTTTTTTCACTTAAATCGATATTTTTGAAGAAAAAAAAACATCAAATATCCATGCCTAATTTTTTTGAATAACTTTTTGCAAACAGAAAGGTCAATTGTTGTGGGATTAAAACTAATAGCCTTCGATAATCCATCATTTACAGTAATATTTAACACTTTACAATGAGTTAATTTTTTTAGATATTACATTTTGTTTCTGCTGTCTCATCTCAATAATAGGTGTAATAGGCTCAAATATTACAAAAAAAAGTACAGGAAACACTTACGGCAAATAGCCATAGCCAGTTGGAGTGTGCAGAAGAAACACGTCTAAAATATTAGGGAATTTTCAACAAAACAATCATGCTCTACAACTTACCTGGCACCCCTGTTGTTGTGGAAGTGGCAAAATTTTGTTGGAAGAATGATTGCTGATGTTGGTACTGCTGGGAAGATATTAAATTGGGAGTGGTAGGGACAGATGAGGAGTCAAGATTTTCTGGCCGACCCATGGCGCTTTGGCTGCCAACTTGGTAATGATGGGCATGAGTTTTATACGACTGTGAATGTTGTACGCTGTGGGAGGCACTAGACTGGGGTTTGTGAAGGTGCATTTGATTGTAATTATGTTGAGGATGAGCCTGTAAATATGTGTGCTGTGGGGTCGCCAAATGATTCTGATTTGATCCGGATGAAAGAAACTGACCCAATCCTAAACGGGAACTCTTCCTTTTCAAAATTGGTGCTGATACTTGGCGATTGTAGATCTTTTCTTTCTCTGAAAAAGGTAAAGAATTGTTAGAATTGTTATTTCTCGTAACTTTTGTTAAGCTCCGTAATTCAGCGTACTCAAGACCTCATTTCACGTAGTATCAAACATCGAATAATTTGAATTTGTTCGCAAATTGTACACTTGTTTTTTGAACGATTTAAGCGTTAGTAGTAGTAATAAAACAAAAATTGCGAATACATATTAACATCATGCTGATATTAAGCATCATACCAACCATTCAAAACTATTTTGGCAGGTGAGGATACTCAATCCTGGCTGTTTTTCTATACGTTTCACATTTCCCTTAAACAAACCTAAGTGTATCCAAATTTTTACGCTTGCCATAATTTATGAATCAAAGTGAGACCTATTGGAGAATATTAGAACTATGAAAACGACGATGATTTCAAAATCATGTACGGCGAGATCTGTAATCTTAAAAAATGTCTAGTATTGTTGGGAAAAAAAACTCAAGCGCTACTCATAGAAGTTTAATATAAATCAGTTTTTTTTTCTGCTAAACTTTTCTCTTAAACCATCAACAGCCATGAATGTTCATTTGTGGTAGTCCCAATAAACTCCTTTTATCCAGTACCGCAATCGGTGTAATAGATTAAAGGAGTATAACCATAGAGGTAACTCTAAGACCAAAAGGTCTCGAAGAAACGTGCTCAACTTTTTAGCTCAGCTCTGGTACTATCTTCGGTCCCAAGCTAATCGATGTACACCGGTTGGCTGTACCATAGAGGTTGGTTATACCAACAATCAATACGAAACTAACGATTTTAAATTGGCTCACTATTTGACTAGCCTATTGGTCCCAAGGAAATTGATTGACGTACCCCATTCTAGCCGAAATTCTAGTACTACACTTTGTTTGTTTTGATTTGCTCTGAAAGTTTTACAGATAAAATGAGGGGTTCGTGGATTTTCCAATGTTTCGAGGGGTACATCGATTAGCTTGGAACCGAAGAGAGTACCAGAGCTGAGCCAAAAAGGTGAGCACGTTTCTTCGGGACCTTCTAGTCTTAGAGGGAAGGGAACGACTCTATCTACGATGCAAAAAAGATTGTGTTTTGCTGTGGCTAGCTGCTCGCACGCTGAGTAGATAGAAAGAAGATTGATGACGATTCTGAAGATTTCCTGCAAAAAGATGATGAGCGATGCAAGTAGATGCGACAAATGAAAGAAGATTTTTCGAAGATTGGTTCGCTAGTGTGAGATTTGTTGAGCATCTAAACTTGAGATTTAGATGTGTCGCCCCCCTCGTCTTAGAGTTACCTCTATGGTACAACCATAGAGGTAACTCTAAGACCAAAAGGTCCCGAAGAAATAAGCTCAACTTTTTGGCTCAGCTCTGGTACTATCTTCGGTCCCAAACTAATCGATTCACCCCGGTCAAAGTGACAGACGACTAACTGGCGAAGAAATCAATTAAAATAATGAGGTTCGCTGTAATAGAATTTTCTTAGAAGCTTGAGCCATCATCCACCAGATGGGATAGTATTTTTGTTTTGGTTTTGCACAAAGTTGATTTTGTGTACAATGATTCTTTGACAGTGTGCAAAGAGTGCGTATCATTTTGTCATTTTTTTATGCATTTCAGTTTTGAGTAGAGTGAAAGAGATAGAACCAAAACATTCTAGTACATTTGGTGAAAATGCTAGTTCAATCCAGCAGTAGTGTTGCCATGTGGTACAATCCAGTAGTAGTGGTGTTGCCATGTGGTACACTGAAAAATTGCAATAGCAGGTTAGTCATCAAAGTTTTCGAGCCGCTCCGTCTGTCACTTCGTTTGTGATAGAGGTAACTCTAAGACTAGAAGGTCCCGAAATAACGTGCTCAACTTTTTGGCTCAGCTCTGGTACTCTCTTCGGTCCCAAGCTAATCGATTCACCCCTCGAAACATAGGAAAAACCAATAACCCCTCATTTTATCTGTCAAACTTTCATAGCGAATCAAAACAAACATTGCGTAGTACTAGAATTTCGACTAGAATGGAGTACGTTAATCGTTTGCTTGGGACTAATAGCACAAACGAAGTGACAGACGACTAACTAGCGAAGAAATCCATTTAAATAATGTGGTTCACTGTAATAGAATTTTCTTGGAAGCTTGTGCCATCATCCACCAGATGGGTTAGTTTTTTGTTTTGATTTGAACAAAGTTGATATTGTGTACAATGATTTTTGACAGTGTGCAAAGAGTGTATCATTTTGTCATTTTTTTGTGCATTTCAGTCTTGAGTAGTGTGAAAGAGATAGAACCAAAACATTCTAATACATTTGGTGAAAATGCTAGTACAATCCAGCAGTAGTGTTGCCATGTGGTACAATCCAGTAGTAGTGGTGTTGCCATGTGGTACACTGAAAAATTGAAATAGCAGGTTAGTCACCAAAGTTTTCGAGCCGCTCCGTCTGTCACTTCGTTGGTGCCACTACTACTAGATTGTACCACAAGCTGCACAAGTGCACAAGCTTCCAAGAAAATTCTATTACAGTGAACCACATTATTTTAATAGATTTCTTCGCCAGATAGTCGTCTGTCACTTCGTTTGTGATAATACCATAGAGGTAACTCTAAGACCAGAAGGTCCCGAAGAAACGTGCTCAACTTTTTGGCTCAACACTGTTACTATCTTCGGTGCCAAGCTAATCGATTCACCCCTCGAAACATAGGAAAATCCACTAACCCCTCATTTTATCTGTCAAACTTTCATAGCGAATCGAAACATACATAGTGTAGTACTAGAATTTTGGCTAGAATGGGGTACGTAATCGATTTGCTTGGGACCAATAGGCTAGTCAAGTAGTGAGCCAATTTGAAATCCTTAGTTTCGTATTGATTGTTGATAATACTCTGCTTCGAGCGTGATTAGCGATAGTTAAGTAAGATGTATATGAATACTGTCTGATATATTTCATGGTGAAAAACTGGCGATATGTAATGGGTGGGAACAGACATCTAGAACCTAATGGAAAATCATATACCTAAGTTTGCACTATGAGAAAATTGAGTAAAATATACCTGTTTTCATGATGAATATTGCTCACTAAAAGATATAGCTTATAAGATAATTATGTTTATTTTATTGGAGTTGCTTTAAACGATTTTTGACGTTTGTTGATATGTGGCGTGTAAACAGACATGTAGAAACTATTGGGCAGTCATTTAACTTTGCAGTACAGGAAAACATGTATATCGTATTTTAATAGCTTCCTTTGATTTTTGACGTTTAAAGATTGTAAACAGATCTATCCCAATCATTTTATAGTCACATAGATTTGCCTTTTAAGAAATCCAACAGCAAACATTTGTTTTGGCATGTTTGTGTGGTTCTGAGAAAAATATCGCTCCCAATAAAATAAAACTTACATGCTTGTTCTTCATAAACTATTGAAACAATTGTCAACGATGTTATCGTACACTCATTAAAATGATTAGTCGAACTAAATATAGCTTACAACAATGATACTGTATTGAATAATCTTTGTTTGTTATTGTTCCATAAGGTAAGGGGTTCCGGAAAAGAATGTATTGAAATTGAAAAAAATGATTTTACTGCAATATTTATTTGCTAAGATTTTAATTGTAAGCCTTCTACACACACTTTGAAATTATCGCTGACTTCGATAATTTTTACCGAAATCTGATCAGAAATCGGTAAAAGCTACTTTGAAACTAAATCTCTACTAAAATGACAAGATATGATCATTTAAACAAGGTTGAACATGTTTTGAATCTATTTTCAGGTCAAAGGTCAAAGTTTTACCGAATGTTCAGTTGTTCTGATTTCGTTAAAATTTACTGAACACAGAATCAAAATCTTAGTGTGCACGGCTAATTCAGATTCCAGCACTAGTACTCGAACTTCATGAACCAGTTCCATGAACTCATATAATGTAGTCGTTGTTTTATTGCACACAGGAGCATTAAGAAAGATTTGAATACACGACACCACCGAAACGGAGCATACATTTGTTAGTGTTATTTTTCTTCACTCTAGCAAAACGAGCATAACGTTGCACTACATTCCATGTCGGGAGAGCTGTTCTTACTTCATGCTAATTGAACGAGCTCAATCTTGAAGTCAGCAGTGGAATCGAGCGCAGACACCGCAAGCATCACACCTCAACAGTTCTTGATCGAATCCCAAATCAGCTACAATAAAAAAAGACACAACTGTGAAAGCTCACACTGCTCTGGCTGATGTTTATTTTTCCATTTATTTTTAGAATTCGATTAAATATAGGGCAAATGTCTCTAATGTTGGCCTATGCATCTAAGATTGGGCCCATCGCTAAAAATCTGCTATTTATCAATTTTATCTAGATGAACGCGTTATTGGGACGTTACTAATGGATATTTTTGGTTGCTATTGAAAATTTAGTCGATTGCTGAATTTATGTATGGGCCCAAATTAAGGACACTTAGACCGACATTACCTGCATTTCTCCTATGTGTCAAAAGAAGAAGTAAATTTCATTTTATTTTCACATAAACTTTACATCGATTGATTTATGACACATATGAAAAGTAAAGCTTACGCTTATGGGTTTCAAATCCATTTCAGTTAATTATTATAATTTGACCGTTTTTCATTTATCATATGACGATCATATAAAAGTTACCAAATTATCAGCATTGTAAATGTATCAGATATTCATATAGAATTTACCAGACACATTTTCAATGGATTATCATATAGCGCAAATTTATTAGACTTTCACATAACAGGAATATGTCATATTGGTTCAGTGTACTAAACCCATCAACAAAGAGGAGAGTCTTTTTAAATATTTTCCTCGATTTGATTTCCGTCTATCTTGTTTTCCGTACTGAGTACCAATGCTACCGACGCCAGGGAGGCAGCTCCCACACCTGAACCCTACCTATCGAACCATCAACTCATGAACCGGGGACCTAATGGCCATGTGGAAGAAACGGTTTCGGAAACTAGTATTCAAGCGAATAAAAGTAATTTACTTCGGGGACGAAATAT